GTGTGTGTGTGTGTGTGTGTGTGTGTGTGTATACTCGTAAGCACCAGTAGGTGTTTATGTATGTATCTGTGTGTGAATATATAGATGGCAGCTTGGGCAGATGTGTGTGCCTGTGAGCACACACATAGGGTATGTATGAATACATCTGCAGGTATAGGGTAAGAAGCATATGTGTACTGTTATGGTGGAGGGCACACAGAAGTTCTAGCGGCGCCACCTGCCACACCCCCTGACTTCTCTCCCTTCTCAGATCAGGAGGGGCGTTGCCCAAGCTTGCTGTTGCCAGGTGGAGGCCTCCTGCTCCTGTGGCTATGGGGACAGATCTCCAGGCAGCAGGGGGCAGCAGGGGCAAGAGAAGTCCCATTGGTTAGGGTGGGGCAGACAGGCAGGCGGGCAGGAGGAGGCCTTTAAAATCCCTGCCCCGCCTGCAGGTGAGCAGTGGTGTGTGAGAGCCAGCTCTCCTCTGTCCTCTCCCTGCCTGTCCACTCAGTGGCAGTTCCCTGGAGCTGTCTGTCCCCTGTGGAGCCTCAGCAGCTTCCTCTTTCAGAAGTCACTACCAAGATCCCTGAACAGGTAGGTGATGGCATAGGATAGAGATTACCCTATGAAGTGAACTTAATCTGGAAGCAGGTTTTGGGGGCTGTCAGACTGTGGGGAGGGTCTTGGAAGAGTCTAGGGTTGGTTTAGGGAGAGGTCTGAGATATATAGGTGCCAGGAAAGGGCATAGAGTGACCTTGTAGTGTGGGGCTTGGGGTACCAGTGGAGAAAACTGGGGTGTTAGGATCTCAGAGTGGCAGGTGCCAGTAGAAGGCCTGTGCAGTACAAAGAAGTAGGAGTATTAGGATGGAAGTGGAAAAAGTACTGAGGTGTCAGAGGCCAGATGCAGGGGAAACTTTGTGATAACTTTGTGAAACGTTGGGTCCAGGATGTTGGAGTCTGGTATGTCAGGATCTAATGCCAGGGCCAGGGCCAGCCAGGGCAGGGGAAAAGGTCCTAACTCACACATGTCTGCCTCCTAGGAGCCACCATGCAGTGCTATAGCTTCATTAAGACCATGATGATTCTCTTCAATTTTCTCATCTTTGTAAGTATGGGGGTTGGGGGCTCCTTGGGGCTCCCTGCAGCAGTGGGTCACAACCTGAGCAGAGCCTAAGCTCAGGAATAGGAAGGAGACACTGTGCCCAGACGCTGTCCTGCATAGTTCCCCTGATGATGGGGTACAGAAATCTCCCCAGATGCTGGGTCCTGGTCCCAATAGCATCCTGGCAGCCACACAAGTTGGAGTAGAGAAACTTTGGGGCATCCTCTCCCTTCCAGGAAGCTTCAGCCCAGACTGAGGGCAGGGCAGGCTAACAGGAACGATTCTCCCTTTTTTATAGGAATTGGGGGCCCGGTGAGGAGTAGGGGTTTGTTCTAGGTCACCTAGTATGGAAGAAAATTCAGTGGCCTCTGTATAATGGGGATCTGAAAGGAGATAAGTCCTAGAGACCTCATAGCACAGTGTCTGCCGCAAGCAACCCTTATTCATTCAACAAACATTTATTGCCTGAGACTTGGTGCCGAGTGCTGAGTGCGACGGGTGAGCAAGCTCTTTCTCTGCCTTGGAGAATCTGAGGCCAACAGGCCAGATAGGCAGACAGTTGCAACATAGTGTTTTTGGCCTTAGCACAAGGGCTATGGGAGCCCAGAGGAGGAGCTTGAACCCCACCTGGAGAAGACTTCCTGGAGGAAATAGCTGAGGCTGGGGATTTACCCTGGGTAAGAGGGTTGTAAAATATGCAGAAAGGCCCAGCGGCAATGAAATCAGATATTGTTCAGAAAACCAGGAACAGACTGAATAGTGCATGTTTGAGGAAGCTGAGCAAGAAAGCATGACCCTTGGAGATGGTGGTGGAGATAGGGAGAAACAGACAAAGTGGACAAAAGCGAAAGCCCTCGGATGGTGGCTGAGGGATGGAAGAAGGGGCAAGGGAGACAGAGGTCTGGGAGATGATGCCTGTGTCTCTGGCATGAGCAACCCAGGGGTTGTCCCACAGGCAGCTGTGTACCTAATGGGGTTGCAGTTCAGTTGGGAGCTAGACATGAACATTTGAAAGCCATATGCCCCTAGGTGGTCACTGAAGCCATGGGAGTGGGTGAGAGTACTCAGGGAGAGTGAACTACAGAAAACCCAGCTTCTAAGGGATAAGCAGAAAAACGGCCACCAGGAAGCAGATGGAGAAAGAAGAATGGGAGGAAAACAAGGAGACAGAGAGCAGAGAGGTCAAGGAGGATATGACATGAAGTGTCCACCAGATTTAGCACAGGATGTCACCAGAGACCTTGGAGCCACATTAGAATGGGTTAGAGTGAGTAAAAGTGAGGAAGTGGAGACATGAAATGTAGATAAATTCGGAGAAATTGGCTTGGGGGTGAATAAACGCTCTGATTCTGATGTGGGCTGTGCCTTGGGCTTTCTTTGTCTTCTGAAAAGTAGCCTTTATCCATGTATCTGGAGAAGGCAACAGGATCCCAGCGATTTGGAGAGCAAATGCTCTGGCCTGAGGGGGTGGGTTAAAGGCAAATCCAGTTTGGATTCTGGCCTCTGTTGCCCAGTCCTTTGCAGGCTGGGCAGGGCAGGGCCAGCTTCAGACTCTTTGAAATTTGACCCTGCAGGTTGGAAGCCTAGCTTTTTGTCCTTGGGCAAACATGCCTGGGATCCAGCCACAATCTACCACTTTATTCCTGGTTTTAGCCTCAGTTTCTATAACTGGAAAATGGGGACTAGGCATCAAGGTGGTGTCAGGCTGATGTATCCATTGAAGCTCTGGATCAGCAAGGCTTTGCTTTAAGAGCTTTGGGAACTGAGCAGTGCCTTCCTCCCCAATCTGGGCCTCAGGATTCCCTCCGAGATTTGGGGTTGAGCTAGACAGCCTCTAAGAGCTCTGGCTGTACTCCCCCTCTGGTGCCTCAGTCTCTACAAGGAGAGGTCTAGGCTGGATGAAGGGCAGGCCTGGAGTCTAATCCTGGAGGGGAGCCAGGTGGGGCCTCAGGGTGGGTGTCCCTTCTCACCACCTCCATCTCCAAGGTTGGGAGCAAGTGTAAACCTCAGCTCCGCCTTCATTGCCATGGTGACGTTGAGCCTGCTCAATGCTACCACCCCCATGTTTCGGCCTATCAGAGGACAGAGGTGTTCCAGGCACTCATAGCCTGGAAGGAGATTAGGGAGGGGTGGTGCTCACCTGCTTGTTTTCACCCCTAGCTATGTGGCAGGACTCTGGCAGCAGTGAAGGAAAGACTTCCTTCCTCCCCCACCCTCCCGTGGATATTTCAGGAACCTGTAATCCCATTTATATCTGCGTAGGTGCATAGCCTGGTGCTGGCTATAGGTGCCCCATGTCCCGTGCTTCTGGCTCTATAGGATGTTTTTCCTCCTACAGGATGACTTTTTAGTCTCCTTAGCCAATAGAAGGGGAAGTTTCTCGTCTCCCATCTTCCTGACTCTGACTCAACTGTGTGGTAGGGAACTGCTTGCCAGCACTGTTTCAAGGTCTGTCTCTCTGTCCCCAGCTGTGTGGTGCGGCCCTGTTGGCAGTGGGCATCTGGGTGTCAGTCGATGGGTCGTCCTTCCTGAAGATCTTCGGGCCACTGTCGTCCCACGCCATGCAGTTTGTCAACGTGGGCTACTTTCTCATCGCAGCTGGCGCTGTGCTCTTTGCTCTTGGTTTCCTGGGCTGCTACGGTGCTCACACTGAGAACAAGTGTGCACTCATGATGGTGTGTCAAACCCAGCTCCACGGGCCCATAACCAAGGCCCAGGGTCCCCTCGCCCTTGACACCAGGCCCTGGGGATCCCCAAACCCTGTTCTGGACTGCAGGGGCCTCAGCAAAGGGGCCCCTGCCTCATTTTTACAAGGGTGGGTTAGGGCAAGGAAGTCATGAGGGACTGTCTCTCCCTAAAATTCAGACCCCTGTTCCCCACTCAGTTCTTCTTCATCCTCCTCATCATCTTCATTGCTGAGGTTGCAGCTGCTGTGGTTGCCTTGGTGTATACCGCAATGGTGAGGACCAGGGATGGGACAAAGGGGTAAAACTGGGCAAAGCCCTAGAAGTGGGCTGTGGCCTGTGAATGGCCACCTTGCCTGTCAGGCCCTAAACACTGGCCTGCCCCACCCAGGCAGAGCAATTCCTGACGTTGGTGGTAGTGCCCACCATCAAGAAAGACTACGGTTCCCAGAAGGACTTCACTCAAGTGTGGAACACCACCATGGAAGGGGTAAGATGGGCTGGGGGAGATTTTAGAGTGAGTAGAAAGAAGCAAGGCCCCACTGACCACCCTCACCTCCTTGTCTCCAGCTCAAGTGCTGTGGCTTCAACAACTACACGGATTTTGAAGATTCTCCCTACCTCAAAGAGAACCATGTCTTTCCCCCATACTGTTGCTTTGATAAGGCCAATGGCACAACTATGGAACCCTGCACCAAGGAGAAGGCCAATGACATGGATGTACAGGTGTGTGCTAGCATGGAAGGCTGGGGCTGCTTTAATGGCCTCCACGTGCTGAAGGAGGGTGGGAGGCAGCTGCTGACTATAGATGTTCTCTTCCCTCTCCCAAGGGTTGCTTCCATCAGCTTCTGTCTGACATCCGAACCAATGCTGTCACTGTGGGTGGTGTGGCGGCTGGAATTGGGGGCTTGGAGGTAAGGGGGTGAGGAGGTTGGGGCAGGATATCCCCACTAGACTGGAGGTACTTGACTCATCTTTGAAGCCTCTCTGGAGGAGACAGGCTTCTAAGAGCTTCATGTAGGGTGTCTGAGGGGCAGGGGAGTAAAACTTAAAGACCCTGATCATGTCCTCTCATCTCTCCCTATTCCTTCCCCATCAGCTGGCTGCCATGATTGTGTCCATCTATCTGTACTGCAATTTGAAATAAGTCTGCTTCTGCCTCTGCCATTGCTGCTGCCAAACAGGAACTGGGAAGAGGCACCCTGGCACTGACAAGTGGCTGTGATCAGTGTGGAGACAGGATCTTAACAGTGTCATTTGGGCCAGAGAGGGCCCAGCCTTGCTGCTCTGGAGTTGGAACCAAATAGGGACCACCCTCTTCAGGCTGTGCCTGACATTGCGGCCCATTGGTGAGGTTGGGGCCCACCTGTTCCAGAGCCAATTCTGAGTTAGCCAGTTCTCCTGCCCATTCCTCCAGTCTGTCTCTTAAACCCTTGACACCCCTTCAGGTCAATGGGGGCTCTTAGTGATCCCAGTACTCCACTGGGGGATGAGAAAGGCACCCTATACCCTGGGCATATGTGACATTAGCAGTAACCAGGCGGATGTGTAGAAGGCACTTCAGAACTCAAACCAATTAAAATTTTTCCATTTGGATTCTTTTCAAGTGTATCCTTGGGGAGAGGGGCTCATCTCGTCTAAACTAGCTTCAGATTCTTGTGGGGCTGGGGACTCAGAAGGCCCCTGGAAATGTAGCAGATGGAAAGTGGGGTGGAAGGAAGTGGTTATTTCTCCCCTCCACTTGGATTTCAGGCCTAGGAGGGGACCCAACAGGGATGGCCAAGAGGGCACTGAGGGAGGACGTAGAGGCTGGGCGTCTGCCTTCCTATCACATGGGAGGACTTTGGCCTGAAATTATTCTCCTGGTTGGGGGCACTGAACCAGAAAGCTATGAAAAGAACAACTTTATGCCCAAGTTGGGGGCAGGGAGACATTGTACTAAGGCAACGGGAGAGGGTCACTCCTTAGGCTCTGGGAGGCACCCTGGAAGCCTCCATTGGAGAATCCAAGCTGCCTACCCTTCCCACTCAGGCAAAGCCCCACACCTGCCCCTGCTTTGGGGATTTCAGAAAGAAGTTAATTTATTCTCAGTGTTGGCCAAGTGACTTGTTCCAGGCCCACAACCTTCCATGAAGAGCTAAGCCTGGGTTTGGGCCCAGGCCATGTGACTCCAGAGCCTGGTGGGGTCCTGGCTGACATGGTGACAGATTTGGCAGAAGGCCAGAAAGTCCTAGACATAGATCTGATTGCTGCTGAACCAGGAGTGATGGCCCTGAGGAGAAAAGCTAGGGCTGGAGAACATGGTGTCTGCTACCACGCAAAGCCCAGCCTGGCAAACCAGTCCTCCTCCTTGCTTCCCTTTGACCCCTGGGTCTCTCTTCCCATGCTTTCTAGGGCAGCCCAAACTATAACCCCTTGCTGCGCCCAAAAAGGAACAGTGACCTGGCCAGAACCATATAGTGCCTGCGAGCTGGTCTGTGAAGCCCAGGAGCCT